GTAGTCAGGTCGTTTATGACACTTGTCAACTTTACGTATTGGCAAAACGAAAATTATAGTGTATTTTAATGTATTTTTATTTCTGTATGTCGATATATGTATAGTACATTCATATATTAAACATTTTTTGTTGATGTGACTACATGTTATACAAAAAAAAGTTTATATAATATTTTACAATTTGGCCGGTATAATTTTTCTTGTGAATTTAAAATTATTTCAAGGCTTTCCACTGGTAAATTATATAAAACTGTAGGTTAAAATACAAGTGGAAATATAATTATTATGTTATTTCATAATTACGTAATTTGGTAAATAATTTGTTTTTAAACATGACACTTAAAGTGAGTGATGGTTAGGAACATTAATTGTTCAAGTAACACTTGCACTTGACCGCATTTTCACATGTAACATAACGTACAGATATACAACTCGAAAACAATTTATGAATAAATGCGAAAATTGCGCCTCTTACGGACAACTCGAACCATTTAATTCTGTTTTTTCCCCTTACTTGTTTCATAAAATCTTACAGAGTAAAAAAGCATCCACTTTCTTTTAGTGGTTTTCATGATTAACACAATAATAAATCCAGATGTGCCGAAGTTTTATATCCTTTTAAAGGAACTACAAAAAGAAGGTTTGTATTCGATTCGTCCGTATATCTTTTAAGTAACTTACGAAAAAATATTATTATTCGTGTCTAATTTTTGTATATTATGTCATGTCTTCGTCTATTTTAAACCTATTTGGTAATTCTCTTTTCAATAGATAGGGTTTAATTTCTTGAAGATTTCCCATTGAAGATTTGTGAATTTTTGTAGAGATCTTAAATTATTGTTCTGATTTATTTATTTATAATAAGACTTAATAGCGCAGAAAAGTTGCTAGTGTAATATAAAAATAAGTATTTATTTCATTAATATTAATAACTATAGAAACTGGGCGGTGCACAAACGCCACTAGAATACTTATGAGCGAGAAACAGAAATACTGTAGGATAAGAATAAATGGCATAACATTGCTTTAGCACGTATACAATGGATACGAGTGTATTTCATATTTTCCTCACGGTATTTATCCACATTGTTATATATACGGGTAGATACTTATTTTATGCAGTAAACTAATTAAATTACTAAAAGTTTTAGAGTTTTTTAACTGCGTAGAAGTAACAAAGCTCACTTAGGGTAGGGTAGTATTAATATTTAAAGACATCAAAAAGAAGGAGGTTCTGAATTCAGTAGTATTTTTTTTTATATTTGATATCACATAACTACGTCAGCTGTAAATCGATTTGCAAAATTCTTTTTTTTTTATTTGGTAGGATATACTCACAAATTGGTACTATAGAAATTTTATAAAAATCGGTTCTGTGGTTTAGTTTTTAAATCAAAAAAACTCGTTTTGCTACACTCGAAGTTTTTTTTTGTGGAATACAATTTTGTTGACATAAAATATAATGTCTGCTGAAAATTGAATTATATTAAACAATTTAATTTCTAATTTAATTTAATTTTAAATTTCTTGTTATACGAAAGTTGTACCGTTATCAAAATAACTATATATGCTACAATTTTAATGTATTTACTTTATTAATGTATTTAATTTACCAGAGGGAGACTTTGTACAAAAATCGTTTGCTTGGACACCTCTGTCCCATTCGTGTTGAAGGGTGGGTTATGGCAGTGAATTTACAGGATACAGAAGAATAACACCTGTGTGTTCAGGAATGCCAACGCATGGGGTGGGGGTATCATGGACAAAACAGTATACTCTGTTATATCTATAGTACTGCTCATGTCTATAGGCGACGGTTACCACTTTCCATCAGGTGGGCCGTCAGCTTGTTTGCCATTCTAAGTTGCATAAAAAAGTATAGACTCACAAATATCTCCAGAGTACTAATTTTTTTTTTTAAATTAATATCACATTTGTACATTTGTATCACAAATACGAAGGATTTTTATTTGGTTCCTTAAGCAAATGCTGCATAAAAAGTTGAAATATCATCGACACGTTTAAAAAAAAAACAGTTCATTAATTTTTTATAATAAAAAAGCATTAATTAAACTGCTCTTGATGTATTTGTTCATCGAATACGCAAAAATGTCCTCTCTCAATGCGAAATATCGCATTAAATGTTTTCGTATAAAAGTTATCCGTTTATGATCTGAGCCGTATATCAAATTAGGATTACTGACGGAAGACTTAATGTCAATAGTGGCAGTTAACATATACTGTGACATTGATAACGCCTACGTTTTTAAAGGGCATTACAAATGAGATCATTGCTGCTAGATCTAATTCTGCATTAATCACGAGTTTGCAGTGAGAAATTGTGATATTTTCTCGTCCTAAAATTACATTTTCAACTTTGCCAAAAAATATAATAGAATTTAGCATCTTTTTAAAGACCATGGACTGCGGAAAATGGTAAAAGTTTTAAATAACGCTTTGATCTGGGGGTATAAGTACTAAAACAAAGCTGTGACCTGCTAAATCCATATTCTTCTGTAGTTTTTTTAAAGAAGTGTTATTATATTCCACTAGGATAAACACTAAGGATAAGAGTGAATAAATTTATAATGTTTACCACTGTTTGCAAAAACTAGATTACATCCTAGCGAAGCCGGAATTGATAGTTAGTTTAATATTTAGGTGTTATTTATCGTCTTTATCACAGCAATTAACTGAATATTTACAATGTTTTTTAAACATGTTGTTAAGCTAACAGATAAATTTACAATATTATTTATAACTATATTTTAGTTGTATTATTACTCATTCTCAACAAATACACATATTATAATACAAATATCAACAAGGATATAATTATTAATAGTAGATTGCCTGTATTTGCTTTTGGTTTCTCATCATGTGCATTTAATGGATCAAATTTAATTTCTATTTAAATTATATCCGCCAATATATTTCGCCTTGGATGACTTACAATATGAATGCGGAATTGAATCATGTTGCAGGCCATTTATATAGAAACATATATAATGATTAAGGTTGAGTACTTGAGTTACAATTACATATATGAGACAGAGAGAACTGCGATGTTTACTCCAATTCGTCATCTGTCATGTCTTATTTGCAGATACTATGTAAGTGCATACGTGGTTAACTATGACGCTACTAGTATTGAATATCTTAATTGATTAAGAAAAATTGCCAAGTTCTGCGAGTTCAACTCAAGTTCGTTTTCTTATTTATTTACTGTATAGGTACTTTTTTATGTATTCTGTACCTTTTGGTTACTGCGAATTAACTGTTTGTTTGTTTAAATAATCGCAGTATTATAACACCAGTTCGTGTCATCACCAATCCATAACCAAAGTTTGGCAGTGTAGAAACACACCGAAGAAAGTATATAAGTTTAAATTTAACTAGAAAGTTATGTGGGTGATGTATATATAATAAGATGAATACACAGATCAGATACAGACCTAAAACTCATGCCTGCTTGTTCTGTGCTAAGACTTATTGTGTTTGCACTTTTATGCAGCTTAAATTCACAGTGATTTCTAGATATTTTTTACATGAGAAATGATGATAAGTAAATTTTCTAATTAGTCTTAAAGATAAATCCAGACCTTATAGAAATTTTCTAACTTTGTACATCAAATTATAATAAAATATATTAATACATTGTGTTCGTTTATTGTCTTATTTACTTAGTACATTATTATCTATCTAAATGCCTAGTTTCACTGATTATTTTATAAATGAAGAAGATTTTTTCTATCTTGTATTACTGACTTAGTTAAAAAAAGTATTGACTGAATTAGTAAAGTAAAAAATACAAGGCGTAGTCCACGATAGATAAAGTATATCAAAATATTGAACGCAGTCTAGACGCGATATAATCTCAGATGGCGAGAGATAGGTATGCGAACGAGTGCGCTCCCTGCGCCGAACACTCGGCCGCCCAGTGTCAAGGCCGCATCCCCCCACGAATCTTGGCGAATACAACTCGTGGGAAGTGACTACGACAGCTAGACCCCCCCTTTTACATGTGTTTATGTGATATATAGTAAGGAGGAAGCGAAACCTCGCAGCTCACTAATAAATGGCTACCTACTACGTCCCGGGTGGAGCTCGAACTCCGTGTTTACGTAACGTACCACGCTTCAACTTAGATGACTTCTTTAAATTAATACTAATAACTTTGAAACCTTAGTCGCGCGTCGGCAATTACAATGCCATTTAATTAAACTCGATCTGTTTTTTTTTTTAAATATTATATTTTTATATGAATTTTCAGTTTAATATTTTTCACGAACTTTTAATCTGTTATTAATTGGAATTATTATAATTAGTCTACATTTTATACGCAAAATAATTGATTACAAAGTATTATTACTTGTATAAAGGTTCTTCCTCAATATAAAAAAATTTGTCATAGAATTCAGTAGTAGTTATTTATTTTGAAATTAAATCAATTTAAAGCGCTGATGGATAAATAATTAACTATTTCATAATTAAAAAAAGTAATAAATAAATACGAAAATAAGTCGAAGTAAAATGTCGCAAGTGTCATAACTACTGTAATTTCTATTTATAAGGTTAACAAAGCAATTTATGTTTTAAAAATGCCAACAGTTCAAACAACTTTCATTTTAGGTAATATACGTTTGTTGTTGTGTCCTTCATTATTTAGGCATTGCATGAATTAATATGTTACCCGTCGCATGAATCGATGTGGCATTCTTTATTTAAATATATTTTATATTTAATTTTTTTGTTTTAGTGTCAATATTTAGTTGCACTATTATAAATTTTTAAACTGTGGTCAATAAATCTTGTGGCAAACAGTTTAACAATTTAAAACATTTGTACTCAGACAATTTGAATTCAGAATGATTTCTTTTTCTTATATATTTAAATCTCATAAAGTTTATTCGGCAATTCAACCAGGTTTTGTCTTGAGTACAGTGCTTGCAGCTGTTGCATGTTGCCTGTATCTAGCGAGTGGTCTCTGTTGCATGCAGGTCTAGACGCGCTTCGCAGCAGCTGTCCAGGAGCGCGGAGAGCATAGACCAATCTTTCAAGAGGTAAATAAAAATATGTTTAATCTACTTCTGTCTATCAGTATAAATGCCTGGACAGACGATGAACATTTTTTGCTGACTTACTTTCCCATTGTATAAGCTGTTTACACAACGTATGCAATGCGATATCAAAATTTTTGGAGTTTTATTACAATTGAAATAAAATTTAAGCCAAGAATTGCCTTTCGTCGGACTTTTTGGGAAAATGAGTGTCTGTGGCTAGAAAGTACCTCGTCTGTGCAGGCCATAAGTATTAGATAAACAACAAAAAACAAGAAACGTCTCCTTTTTAAAAGTTACAAACAAATAGATGGCGCTTATATATAATACTTAGTTATTAGTCTTTTTATTAATTTTAATATCTCTAATACTTGTATTACACTAAACTTGAACCAGGATGCACATTATAATAGAACTTTAGAGATAAAATATAAGATAACTTGAAGGATTGATACATAATATAATGACCCATAGATATAATGTGACATTGACTACAAGGTAAAAAAGTTTGTGTCAAAATACTCATGTACAAGTTTATTTCCGCTATTATAGTCTTGCACATGCATAATATTCGACTGGAATGTTGTTTGCATAGTTTATTTCGTACTCACTTGCTATTTACCCGCTACACATGTAAATATGTATTTTGTTTTATATCTTATTGTAGTTACATAATGTGTAGTCACGTTGATAGAGCCCATTCAATGTTATAACAGGTTTTTGTTTGTGTCAAAAGTTCAATTTTATAATGTAAACATAAGTAATTGTAATTAATATTAAATTATGTTAAATTTTTTATCATCGTCAAAATATTGTTTATAATGTTTCGTTATTGAAACGCTGTTTTGATAAGCGGTGACCCACTTGTATAATTCACTATGTAGTCACAAATACACCCCTTCTTATTATGTACTTCACCGTGATTTGCACACACACACACACACACACACACACACATACACATAGTGTATTCGCAATGTCAATTTTACAAGAATAATCATACTTCCTAAATAATAATTTAAAAATATAACTACACGTGACTATATTGATGAGCACTAATTTCTTATTATCATTTTCGCAATTATACGCCATATTGTTGCAGTGATCAATCCATTTGCTCACATGTCGAGGTTATATAAAAAAAATACTCTTACTTTCTTTATTATCTATCTTAGATAAAAAGTAGAGTGACATCACTCCTAAACCTATTTACTAGACAAAAGTCGCTATCATTGAATGATGTGTTTACAACATGATCACGCTTGCCAAAAGTGTTGTTCGATAATCGCGATGTACGTATAAAAGAGCCAATTAAATACATTTCTTTTATTACGTCTGCTCTTTATACTCTTATTTTTTTTAACGCATTTATGACTATCTTGATGGTGTAGTGATTTAATATACTGTCTCCTGGTTGCGGGTTCGATTCCCACTCAAAACGACCTTTATCTTGATTTGGGCGTTTTTCATGTCCATGTATTATGCATATTTTTCAAATATGTCTAATCCATAGTAGCTTAATACCCATAGTACAAAGTCTAGTAGTAGATTGCTACGGTACGGTAACCGCTTACCATCAGGTGGGCCGTATGCTTGTTTGCCACCTCAATTGTATAAAAAAAAAGATTGCCCTATGTGATATGTCCAGGGCTATTTATCCATTATCTTAAACCCAGGAATCGAACTCAGAACATATAATTCAGTAGTGTTACTGGTCAGAAACAGAATTTATTATATTAATGTTCGCGTTGAGCGAAATATTCTGGGTCACATCAATAAATTGTCTCATTTTTATGAATTATTCGAGTAGACACCTATTAATATTCAATGAATGCGTTGGTCTAATGCGCAGCCGCTGAATACGGAGGCTCCTGCTATTTGTATCAGACCTACGAGTTATTTGGGACGCTGGTTTTAAGGATCCTGTTGCCTATTACCAGAGCGCTGACCTCATATGTTTACGACTCTTTTAATCATGTTCCGTGCTATTGTCTGTAGATTGTTTAAGAGGCTGCATAATTAAAATAATAAAAATATTCATTTACATTGAAAAATTGTAAATTATCCCGGGCCTCTAGTCCAGGGTGGCCTCCAAACGCCTCCATTTTCTTCATCCGTATCCATATACTATGTATGTTTATTAAAGTTTAATTTAAATTTCACTTGCAAAGATTTTAACTTAATAAAAATTTATACATACAAATGAGAACTGAATAAAAGCTTGTAAAATTACATCAACTTTTTAAACTAGGGACCTCATTGAGTTATGCCACCCCGGACTTTTGATGGGCTTAGTCCGTCACTGGTTCAACAACGATAGTTTTGAGCTTCCTATACGGTCCAGTTGTTAGTATGTATGCGTTGATGTTAGTGGAGATTCAAAACTTCGATTACAAGCTGTATACTCATCTAAATATCAAAGTGTTTTATAAAAAAGTTATATAATTTTTTTTTGTGTATGTAGTATTTTAAGAAGGCTATGACTCTAATAGTTAAGTAGTAATATAACTATTATAATTAAAACATGTTATTGCAGTATTCTTAATTTATTTTCATATATTTACAGGTCGAAAAGTCGCTCGGTGGACCATGGGTTCGGTGCGCCGTTTGACCTGGAGGCGCTGCGCTCCAAGGTCGAGGGCAGGTGCGATGCTGTGCACAGAGGTAATACACCAAACCAGTTATTTATACATTCATAACTCGTTACGAATGACAACAAATATTTCGCGGGTCATTTTGTGTGCATTTGAATCATTCTGGTAGCAAAATATTTATATTAATGAGCATATTTTAACGGTTTACATATTTTGCGTAACTGACATAATATTAGTCGATTACCTTGCGTACGTAGGTATTGTATATAAATAATTATGTTCTTAAACTATAATCGGAAATGGGATAATCATAGGCATTTTATTTCATTGAATGTAACGCAGTTAATCATATATATTATTATAATATTAGCTTTAATAGATGATTATAAAATGGTAACCTCGCCTGCGCTAACGGTATACGCTGGTAGGGTACCAGTAAGGGATGATAGGTGAGAATGAAAAAGCAGATCAGTTAATCGTGATGAATACCGTTAGAATTCATCACGTTGGAAAACTACGTGGAGGTCGACCTGACTGAGTACATTGCTAGCAATGCTACGGGTAGATTGCATTACTAATAATCCCCCTATATACTATATACTATACATAGGCCTCAGGAATGGCAACGCATGAGGTTTTGTGTTTATATAAGTTTTATTATACAGCATTGTATAGTATAAAGAAAATGGCATGGTACACAGGCGAGCTTGTCCCTTGAAGGAATTTCTTCCAGTCAAGTTTGAGAACACAAAAGGATAATGTATTTATAAAGTTACTATGGATATCGTCAGTATATTCTGTAACGTCCATGATATTGTTTGTTCCTATAGTTCATTAGTCCTCAGGAATAGCAACGCATGGGCGAAACAGTAGATTTTTCGTCCATAGTAGTTACTGTTTCATGTCTATAAGCGACCATTATCGCTTTCCATCTAATGAGTTGTCAACTTGTTTGGCATTCTAAGTATCATAAAAAAAATAATAGAAGTTAGTACGTATAACATAATTATTTAGAAATCTATTGAATTTATTATGTGACATCATATCATCATACGAAATATTATTTATACTGTTTCTGTCTCTATGACTATTTAGGTGTACCTACATTAGTCGACATATTATTACTATTTTACATAAATATACGTTAAAATATTTTTCTTATATTAAACATTTATATTTGAGGGAATGTTTATAATCTCAAAAATAAAACAGCAATTGAAAACATGACTAAAAAAACGCTTGTGATAACATTACATGAGGGAATGACATGGAAAAATGTAATATCCGAAAAACTTATTGTTAAATAAATTTTAACAAAACATCTTTTCTTCAACCGCCTGCTCTATTATAAACTCTCAAGACCAATAATGCCAACTACAAAAAATTTTATGTGAGGCTTGGTAGGCCTTTAACATAAATATTACTCCAATCACATTCAGTGAGGGAATGATATGAGGACAAATTTTGAATTATATTTAAAAATATTTTCATTTATCTATAGTCAATACTATCCTATATGAATAAAAAAAAAAAAAACAAACAATTTATAAAGAATTTTACGTTTTTGGTTAATGATATCAACATAGTGAAATTACTTAATATTCATAGGATTGAACAACTTTTTATAATATGTCTCTGTTAAAAATATTGATATAAAAAAAAATTTAAGTATTGTATGATTCTATTGAATGTGTAAATTTAATATAAATATTTTTTTTTTTAAAGTAATGCGGAAGTGGACCTATTGTTGATATTTCCCGTTGTGTCGACTTCCGTATTTTGTAAACGTATTTAAATTTAGCGCGGCAGGGGGTTTATCGTAACATCTGTTTATTTAGGTCTGTTAATGATATTTACTACGATTAAATTGGAATGCCAACTTGCTATGCTAACACCAAATAAAAATACTGGAAGGATACATTTGATTTTTTTTATATCAAAAGTAGTTTGCTTGGGTACCTGTTTACCGTGAAGCAGTTGTACTTGCATGGCTTTATTTCAGTTTGAAGGGTGGAATATGACAATGAATTTACAAGGTACAGAGATATTACACTTTAATTCTCAGGAATGCCAACCCATGGGATTATCATGGACAAAACAGTATTTATTATTGTAAGCCGTTAACTGTCCACTGCTGAACATAAGCCTTCCCCATAAGGGTAGTTTTGCCAGTAGTTGCCATGCTTTGCAGGCGGGTTGGCAACCGCAGTTAGGTTTTTACAGATGTTTTAAGAGGGACCCTGCTGCCCATCCCTCTACTATAAGTCCCTTTAGTTTCCTCTTACGATACCTATGAGAAAAGAAGATGTGGCCCATTATATGCCGGGATCTACACGGTGAAATAGTATACTCTGTTATATTCATAGTACTGTTTATGTCTATAGACGACGGTTACTACTTATCACCAGGTGGAGCGTCAACTTGTTTTCCTTTTTAAGTTGCATAAGAAAAACAAAACATGCAATCGGTATTTTTTTATGACTGTGAGTAGTTGCCTTTATATTAACGAAGTTATTCCTAATTCGGAATATTCTCTTCCTTTGAATAGTAACTCAGTCGGAGCTATCTAGTAAAGGGTTGTGCGCTTCGCGTATTTCAAATTGACATAAATGTTAAGCAAAGCCTGACATAAAAGAAAAGTAAGGTATAAGTTAAAATTTTATTGATAGTAGAATTCGGTATTGACTTGTACAAATGGATAAAATCGTACTCTTACACCATCCTTAGAGTACGTACCTGTAATATTTTGGTAATGTACTTAGAGGTTTTCACGTTGTAAACGTGTTGTTTATGTCTATAAAAATCATTACCAATTTTGTGTGATGCAAAAGGAGAAGAATCTCAATTAGTCTGTATATTTTTTTATGGATACGTTACTCCATTCAATACTAAACGAATGTTGTAGTTCTTATTATTATCATCTATTAGGTTTACTCTCTATGGTCCCATATTAATTTTGTTACAATTCAAACCACTGTTTTATTTTTTTCGACCCAAATCTGATCTTACGATTCCCAGTAGAACAAAAAATTAAAATAACGATTGCCATGTAAGTCCGCTGAGCGGTCTATTCATTTGCTTTATTATATTAGAATTAAACCCGAGGTTTATTAAACGTAACGTGGGAATAAAATTTTACGCATGGCAAACTTAATTAAACTCACTTTCATTACTATGCAAATACCGTTTATTGGCAACTTTATTATTCAGTTATTCTATCTTTTATATATATGCCACATTTCAGTTTCATATCAACAGTCACACAAACTTTAATTAGTATTGATTTTTATTATATATAATATGTATAACAAAGTAGCTAATCAGTAAAAGCCACTTATGTGTCTGTGAGTAATGTATATTAATTAAAAAAAAAATGTTTAACCAAATTAAGAAAATATACTCGTAAGATACTTAAAATGCTAAACAAACTTGTGGCTCATCCGATGGAAAGTGATAACGGTCGTCTATAGACTGGACAACAGCGTATTATACTGCGTTACTGACCTGTAATAAAATATATACAAATTTACAGAGTTTTTGGGAGCATCTATTTAGTTAACTAATTTTTGTTAAATATTCTTATTATGTACAATTTTTCTATCAAATGAACAGTAGATGTATATATTACATTGGAAATCATTATCATTACGTTGGAAAGACCTCCTCCACAGGCCGTCGCAAATAGTTATGTAAATAATTTTGATAAAAAATACTAATTTAATTATATAATCTGTTTTTTTATAAGCTTGACATAATTAGTAAACAATCTCAACATATCTTTTTGTCCAATTTAGTACTGTTAAAAATAAAACAGACAAAAAAGTTATGAATATGTGATAATGTGTCGTCGTCGTAGGTGTAAAATTAAATAGTTGAATGTATAGACAGTGGCGATTTATATATATATATATATATATATATATATATATATATATATATATATATATATATATATATATATATAATCTTCTGTTGTAGACAATTTTATTCTCGATATCTGTAAAAATGTCTTCTTGTATAATTATCATCTATTATCATCACCATCATATTGACCGTTAACTCTCCACTGCAATACATTGGGGGGCTTTGCCAGTAGTTGCCACGCTTTGTGGCAGCCCCAGTGAGGCTCCGGTGATGTTTTAAGAGAGACACTACTGCCCATCCCTCGATCATTATGTTCCCTTCGTCGCCACTTACGATACTCACGCGAAAGGAAGGGGTAGCCCATTCTATGCCGGAATCATACGGCAGAAATTATAGTAGTAGTTATTAATTACGCTAAACAAACGAAGTAAAATATTAAGTCATGACAATTTCGAAAATACAAAATAAAATGTTAGCTTTTCAGGTATTGTGAGGATTTACCACTCGCTATCGACAGGGAGTTCACCCTCATACCCTACAGCCTAAATAGTTGCGTACAACGCGGTTTCAGAGATGTTTTCTCCCACGAACATTCAGGTTATAGAATGAGCTCCCTGTCGAGGTTTTCCCAAGAGACTACAGCATGAGGTTCTTTAAAAGGGGAATAAAGAGGTTTCTTCAGGGTCGGCAATGCGCGAGTTATACCTCTGGTATTGCAGACGTATATGGTATAGGCTACGGTAACCGCTTACCATCAGGTGAACCATATGCTCGTTTGCCACCTCAGTGGTATAAAAAAATATATAAACCAATCTTTCATCTTATTTTTTTTATTTAGCTAACTGTTTATGTTTACTGTTATTTCAATCAAAAGTTGTGCCATAGTCCTGTTTACTAATTATTCTAAGTACCATAGAAAGAGAAACAGTATATTTATAGATTTGATTTGATAAGTTTTCCGTTCTTGCTTTATTTTTAACGTTAGATTTGGCTAGTCTGTTTACGTTGAAATGTGATTTATTTATATTTGTGTTTTATTTATGTTCATTTTCAACCTCAAACCTTTTAAAATAAGATTTAAGTACTTCCATTACCACAAACTATACCTGGCACTGGAGCGAGTGTGCGAGTTAGACAAATAAACAAGTCAGTTATAAAGATTATCCGGCTATAATATAAACTATAATTAATCCGGTAAGCTAATATAAAACTCTGTTTATTTGGTCTGTCTGTCACGGATTTCTGTCAGTATGTGATCATTTCGATTAATTTGACAATGATTTATGTTACTTGGACGTTGCCTTCCCTGTAATAAAATTATTACGACAGGTTGTTATTCTATGTAATTTAAATTAAATTTCTCACGCATACATTACAGATGTTTTCGTTTGCCTAACGAATGTTGGGTACATATTTATGCAAGCGAATATTATTTTAGTAATTTATTATGTTGACCTTAAATTAATTATAAAATATTTTTTTAATGTAGCTGGCTTAGATTATATACATACATATCAAATCTTAAATACATCCCAAAAACAAATGTCTGTATTTAAAATATACAACTCATTTTTGCAAATGTCCAAATGTTTAAAATCTTTTCAGGGGATTTTTAATTGATGATAGAAATAGTGAACTAACGATACCTTTCCCTCTCTCTTTTCGGGGTGGACGTAACTCTGGCATTGTGGTAGAATGCAAAAACGAACCGGTGACCGCAGCACTATGGCGACAAAGTGGGGTTTATTCGGTTGAAGTTTTAGTTGGCAGTACTCATTCGCGTCACGTGTGAAAATAGATGTACAATATTAAAAAATGTAAATAAAAAAAAAAACATATTGTTTGTGCGGTGAGTCACCAATTACAAGATTATTCGTAAAACAATAAAAGAATGTCATTAAAAACAAGTCAGGCTGTTGTGTCTAAGCAATTGTAGGGAGACTAGACTTAATTGACCTAGATTTTATTATATATATTATATATATTTTGAGACCTAGATTTTATTGATCAATAGTAGGTTATCTTTGTGTGCCTAAGTGACGTACGTGGATAGTTATATGGCACATGGGCACTCATTTCCACTTTTAATTATTCTGTGTGTACTTTCAGTCAACAATTATTAGGTTAATAGCTTTAGGTATTAAACGATCATTTCAGCTGATAGATAGTTATAAATACTATATAATTTAAGCACAAAATAATAAATAATAACTTTATAACATAGTAGTGTTAATATTAAATTGTGTAGTTAACGAACTTGTTTGTTTACAGTACAATGTAAATTTAATAATAATCATTAGCATTTAAATGCGATAATATGTTCTTTGTCTAAAAATAGCGCATTCTATTTATTAATAACAACGTGTAGTAATTATATTATAAACAAGTTTTTATATGTCTGTACTGATCATGACCATGGTGCCATTCATGTCAATAGGCGCCAGTGACGACAGGCCATCAGGTGGGCCGTAAGCTTGTTTACATTCCAAGTCATGTAAAAAATATATACACGTACTTTGATGACCTTCAGAGTCCATAATTATGCTCCGTTCAATATTTGTAATTTTATTTATGTATTTGCCAGTCAACTATTCATCGAGGCAATCTAACGAGCCTAAACAAGATTGCTTTGTTTAGTAAAACGTCTTCATAGTTATATTTTGCTTTACATTATTGTATTTTCATTGAAGTTACATAGGTATATTCAATTTCAATAAAAGCTGGTAGGTAACACTTGAAAAATGTATTGGTTCCAAAATTTGAATTGGTGAGACAGATTTGTAATTTCAATACTGACCTTTAAAGATATAAATAAATAAATAAATTTATATTTATTTTAGGTAACTTGATATCTATTTTGAGATTATTTTAATGAATGAAAATGGAATGGTTATTCAGTCTACGCTGCTGGTATACGTTTATGGGGCGGTTTATGTTTACTCCTATCATCACTTACTTGAGAGGGGTAAGGATGAAGTCAGTTCAATTGATACATCAGGATGATATTTATCAGGTATACACGGCTTGGAGGTCAATCTGGCAGCCGTTGATCCCGCCTACTAATAATCCACTCGCTCGCTCAATAGTTAGAGATTTCGATAATGATAGACACTATATCTTGGAATAATATTTTCATTATAATTATTGCGGAGAAAGCCGCTGGATATATTTAGTAATTGCTATGAAGTATATTTTTTTTTCTCTATTAGGTTATAATAAAGATTAAATTTACTGACAAGCTGACTAATTGTTGTGTTGGAAACAAAACGTTCAGTGAAGGGAATTTTCCAGCCCATTTCCTAATTCCCTTTCAACAACATCAAGTCTTTGTGTACTTACCCTATAAGACACTATTAAATGTTAATATTTTTTTCGAAGTAAGTTTAATTTTCGTTAAATATGTTCTATTTTGTAGATGCTTAGCGCCTGTTACTATGTTATTAGCAAAATTATATATGCTTACATATTATATGTATATGTTATTTTAATAATAGCGTATTAAAAGGCGCTAGCCACATTAACCTTACGCGTTTATGGCTAGATAATCTACAGAGTAATATCATCAGGTTATTATAATATGCAATTAACGCCTCACTACTAGACGCGTATGTCTCCTTATAAGGCGAAGATATTCACGTTCACTACGCCGACCATATGATTTGTTAGATCAGTACCCATTTCTACCAATATGCTCTATCTGTTCGACTTCCACATGCAACCATTGTAATTAATTTCTAATGAATACGCCACGACGATGGGCCAACTAACTGATCTGGCTGAGAGGAAAGGAATTATTAGTAATGGGGATATTAGTTGACATTGCTAACGATATGGTTTATCATATACCATAAAAGCTCCCCTGCTAGACAGGTGTCTCTCAAAAGCCGAAGATATTTACTATCACTACGCCCACCATATGTTTAGTGAGTTAAGTCCTCAATGCTACCAATATACATATTGTTCTGTCAGGTTGACATCCATGCGGTTCCTCTTTGGAAACCATCGTGGTCAATTTCTAGTGAATTCTCTACGATGGGCTAACTTACGTGACTTAGTCCTCTTCGTTTTATTCTTCACTGGTGACCCCGCAACTATATTATTGTATATCATTAGTATAGTTGTACGCACAGACGAGGTTACCATTCTATTATCACCCATTTAGGCTTTATGTTGAGTTTTCATTCTCTTGTAATATTATATTAAAAAAAAACTTGATCCTACAGAATTTTAATAAGATCTTTAGATGGTAAATAAGTTGTTAAATTATTTCGCACATGAATGTTTAATATATATTATGTTTTAGATGAGGACGAACATGTTAAGAGGCTGCCGCCGCCGCCGCCCATCAAAACCATCACCTACACAGTAAGTTGAATCAATCGACTTCAGTGACGAAGAAAATATATTTTTATATCTATTAATTAATTAATTTTTTTACATAGGTACGAGACCGGGACACATTGACTTCGGTGGCAGCACGGTTTGACACAACACCGTCTGAGCTCACCAAGCTGAACAGGCTCGCAACGCAGTTTATCTTCCCCGGACAAACGCTTCTTGTACCTGACAAAAAGAAAGGTTAGTCCCGTCATATACGCAAGTTTAGTAGATTTGAATGAATTTTACCGTATTTTCGTACAAAAGTCCAATGCTTGGATACCTCAATCCTATTCGTATTTCTACTGTGAAGCAGCTATGCTTGCATGTCTGAGTTTCAGTTTGAGGAATAGGATATGGCAATGAAATTGCATCGCATTAAAGGTGGGCAATTTCAGCGGAGAAGAACGGGTAAAAACTCGGCTATTGCTTTTTTCGAAGTTGAGTTTATAAACAAAATGTGAAAGGTTACAATGACGCACAAATTTCATATAAATAAAAACTACAACATGGATGTTAGAGAATTTTCTGATTTCCATAGTGTTATTCGTGTCTATAAGTGACGGATGTCATTTTCTATCAGGTGGTAATTTAGTATACGTGCAAATCTATTGATGAACTCTTTGCGAATATAGAGATGCTACTATTTGAAAATAGAATGCTAACTATTATTAGGAGATCTGATGGGACTATGGGGCGGCCGCTCGTTTACTAACGTAAATTAACTCTTTCTAAAAATTTTCTTCTGTATAGCGAGAAAATCTAATAAGCACTAGGAGACATGTATCGACATTTATCGTATATGTAAGAATGTTTATTTATATTAAAAATACATACATATATTTAGGTATGTTTTTGTACATATTTATAAAATTATTCCGTATAATATTTATTATTATGTCAATTTATATTAATAGGTAAATTAAATTTTTTGGTTAATATATGTTTGCCACCGCTACTCTCAAACGCTTTCTGTTTTTACCTAATAGTTAGCTAAAGTAGAGAATGCTATATGGCATTAAGCTCGTCATTTGTACAAATTTTATTGTTCAATAAAGAATAAATAAACATTTGTTTCAAAACTTGCCACAATAGACAAGTAATAAATCTATCATATCGACAGTGATATATCTATATATAATATCAGTGCCGTATGTATGAAATAGACTAAGATAGCAACATATTTTCTCATTCGTGTGTTCATGAAAATTTATCTACAGAAAGAGGCTGACTGGTTTTGTAAGAAAAACGTATTTCCTGAGATATATAGGATTTGTTAGGAATATTATTTATATTACGTACCTATATCTAAATAACGCTATTATTTACTCTATAAAGAAATTCTGATATCAAGGCTTTCTATGATAGCGCTGTGCGAGAATTGCATATAATTATTCACTATTAAAATACGTGTTCATAGAATACATAATGTACAGTATTATTGTCGTCACGGTTTTCTCACTAGGTCTAGAAATAATAGGTAGGTTGGTTCTAAAACTAAACAACTCTTACTTACCACGATCATTATGGTATTTTAAATTTTATTAATATTTGCCCAGTATTATCTGTCGGATGAATAAAAAAAATATAATGTACGCATTATATGTATATTCTGAAATGCAGGTTTTACAATGCTTTCATCGTCCAAGAATTTTGATGGCCGGACAAATATGCATACAGTTATAAACATTCCTTCCTTAATTCTGGGCGTCCTGTTGCTTGTAGTTACTATCTGTAGTGACATCACACATAATATTATTTATTTTTCTGTATAAAAATTCAATTAGTAGAGATTTAAATACTTTATATATTATTAAACTTTTATAAATCTTTCAATTTTACTATTTATTGCCACCGTAAACAAAAGTAGAACAGTACCTATCTCCGTAGAAATAGATCAAAACCGTTTTCTAACATTGATTTGTCGTGTTTTACAGCCTAAAAACCTCTTCACGCCCAATTAGATGTCGTTACAAGACAGTACTGTTAAATTTCAACCGAGACGAATTATTCAAACGAGAAACTATAGTTACAAGATTCGGCCTTCACTTTGCAATGATTTACTGATCGGGGAGAATACTAATTGCCTCCTTTATTATCGAATAGTTGCCGCTATATTTTTCAGCGACTGCCAAAAGGAAGTTCTTAATTAGCTTTATTTTTATTTTAGCTTTGTTTTTGTTTTGTTACCCGATTACATCATTAATTTTTAGTGTAAAAATTAATAATAATTTATTGCAATCCATTGGGTTTCTTTCTGTGTTGATTCCATATTAATTTTGTGACGATTAATCATAAAATCTGAATCTTGCGAAGAAAAATCGAGCATAAGAAACAATTTGTATTAATTCTAAATCTTTTTACTGATTCAAGAATAACATAATGAAAATGCACATTACAAAGCAATGGCATCACGGTTTATTATGTACAATAAAAGATCGGAGTCACTGGTAGACAGGACAATTAATGTTCTTTTTGTTTACACTGATTGTGGACCGCGAAGTATGTCATTTTTCTGTCACATCTATTTCTATAATTAACCAGAAAGATTTGTACTAAATAATCTCTCTTACTACATTTTACCACCGAGAAGCTCTACTTGAATAGCTGTGTGGAGTGAAACTTTTAACAATTTGTATGTTATTTTTCATTTATAATTTTTATGTCACACGTGTGCAGGATATCCCTTGACTTAGGCATAGACTGCATAATCGTTTACCATCAGGCGGGCCGCTTGCCACTTACATAAAATTAAATAAATACATATTTATCTATATTCGGCTTTCATCATATTAAAATCGAATATAATATAATAATACGAATCATTATGTGCCCAAATTAAATTCTTTAATAATTTACGCATAGTAAAGTTTATCAGAACTAAAAGTATGACGTGCCAAAATGCATATTTTTTTTTCTCGTATATACATTTAGATCTTGGCAGGTATAACATATAATGTTACAATAACAAATATTGAATCAATGTATTTCCCTAACACCGGTGAGCAGTGTGTGGTAGAATGTAAACATAACAAAAGATGTTTCTTATCAACACGAACGCAATTCTGTATTGTCCATTTGATAGAAAAACCGCGTATCTGCTTTTGTGTTATTCGTTCTCGCGTGACGTAGACATGGAACAAATTTTTCTCCTATTTACACCGCAAACAACTTCAAACAAGAGTTACGGTACGACACGGACGGCCGCGAGCGGCGGGGAACAGAGTCAGCTGCGCCGGCGTGCAGACACCACGCGTTACCACAATCGTCTATTTTAAACTATCACCGAATCGCTCCTGGCCTATTTCGTTAAATTAATTACACGACACTGGAATCAATTCGTCGAGTACGCCGCCACAGCCGGCGCACCAGCGCTGTCATGATATGAACGGTTTATCGCACGCGATAAGTGTACATTCCGATATAATGAGCCTCGCGGTGTTTCAGCTCAAGAATGTTCAGTTTTGAATTCCTAAAACGGTGGTATCAAGGTGCGTTGTGATTCTCGTGATACCTCGTCATTATTCGGCGGTATTGTTTTGTCTTTGCGCCATACGTGCATCGCGTGATGACAGCTAGGTAAACAATAACAGCTGTAATGACTGCACCGGTCGATTTTTCAGATGGCGACAAGGACTCCGATGGACCGTCGGAGAGCGGTGACAACACTTCTGAATCAACGCAGGGACCCCCTAGTGAGCCTGCACAGGAAAAAGGTGGGGAAAAGAATACTTATTTAAGACTATTGTAACAAAATTTTATGGATTTAAGTACCATTTTGTTTTATAGTTATACGTACAATAACAGTTTTCGCTGTAAGTGCGTTAGAAACACACCGTGATAACGTGGAACTTATTCCGTACCTTGACGTGGTGTCAAGGTGACATCCATGAATATTTATTTACACTGTTTTAACACTTACCAATTGAAAATAAATAGATATTTCAAATAGTTGGTTTTTAGTATTTAATGCGTAGATTTTAAAATAGATTTGTTACTTATTTGTTACGTATCAATTTATTATGTCAATTTTCATAAGTAAATAAAATTTCACACATAAGATATTTATGGGGTAGAAAGAACTAAACGAGTACTAACAACAGTTTCCATCATTGCACGTAAATAACTATCCGAAGGACGTTGTTTTGATATTGAAATCTACAAGCTTCAAAATATTCTTTTGATGTTTCCCGATTAGTATGTCGATAAATAATATTTTTTTTAAATATAATAAAATAATGGAGACATCACAAAGCATCATTTAATTCTATTCTAAACAGAGCTTGTACTAGAATGCTCTAGAAATTTCTATTGAATTGCAGAGATCCTGGACAGTCTACGGCCGGTGTCCCCGGAGGCGCCCAGTAGCAGTAGCGGACCTCAGAGATTCCTCAAAATCAACGTGCGACATATCACAGACGGACAGGTGATTTATATTCATGAATAACTCACGCCTGTTGATTCACTTTGTAAATGTTCTGTTTCACATTATTTGTTTACTATCCCGTTGACCTACTTCATTTTCCGGTTAGAAAAATAGTGTGGATTGCATTAGTAATTTATCACCAGACGAAATTTCGTTATAATGATAGCGTGTGTATATAACAATACCTACAAATAATGTATAATTTTTTTATCTTACTCTATTTCTATTTGTGTGGCAATATCATTCTCTAACGTCAAGGGTTTTTAGGCCGGTTGCCGCTGTTTTTATATCATGTTGATTATTATTTTGTTTGTTTACTATTAGTTTAATATTTAATGATAAATAAAACACAGTTTTATGCAATGAAAATAAAAAAGATAAGAGTATAAAATGGACGTAAAAAGAAAGGAAATAAAAAATGGAGGGATAAGCCAAACAATGGGGTTGTGTAGAACAATAGGTTGTGTTTCCAATGACCTACCTACACTGTCCGGTCATTTCACCTGCATATCTAATGTGTAAGTACATTCAATGTAATGTCCATGACACTATTATGAGAAAAAAGAATTCAAAGGAATGAAATTATAAAATTGTTGATTTCATTAATGAATATCTGATTTTCTACACGCTTTAGTCGCTCTCTGCTGCAAAATATCTATAACCTTTTGAAATACTATTTATATAACGGCATTGAAAAACAATTTAAAAATACTTTATATCCAACATACTTATATTATTTTGAAAATGGGAAAACCAGTGATAATGAACACTTCTGGATGTCGTATCCCAGATTCTGGTGAAAAGTGTGAACAATATTTAAATGTTATGTATCATCCTTTATACCACTTTTCAAACAACAAGTTATTCTTCTCTTCTCTCTTCAAGAATACAACTGTGAAAACCACAGTCAATTAGATGACAGTTATTTAAAAATTTTAATTATTATTTTGGTTTCTGTTGCACTCATACATTTTATTAAATATCTCTTAGTATATATAAAAATATCGTCAAGTTATGATAAACTGTGGACATATAGCCGAGAGCATTTCCATCAACAAAGATAAAACCACTAATTCCCTATTTATTGAAATTTAATGAAATTTCGGGCATGCACAAACTTCATTGCCTTTGGAAGTTAAGTAATGAGCAGCAGTATGATATGACCAAGCGTGGCAACACAGCAGTGGACGATTAAAGGCTCATATGATGATGATATGGATACAACGAAAATAAAAATTTTTTACTTGAAATATTTCATGTAGATTGCCGCACTGAGTAAAAGCGTGATCTCGGACTCGCTTGCGTTTTGTCATGTTTATTGGATTAATTATTTTGCATTAAAAATAACTCCACTGAATGAAGTATGAGCAAATCTACGAGTAGTCAGAGGCACTACTGCCCCATTCACCTTCATCTACATGAACGAAACGATATAGTTTTCGCATCAGCCTAACAATAAACATGTGGGATGCTAAAGTTGTAATGTAAACAACGTTGAATATTGTTTCGTGTAGACACAGGTGCGTGTCGAAAAACATTTTACAATGAATGTTAAAATTTATCATTTCATTATTTTTTATATTAATCATTTTGACCTTAGTTCCTAAAATTTTATATAATTTCCGAAGATTTTATTTATTTTATACATTTATTTCTATTTATTTAACATAATGCTAAAATATAATGAAAAACTGGTAGTCTATATCCTTCGATAATTTTATTTCAATACATTTTTGTTTGTAAATATGTATACAGAATGTTAGGCCGTGTAACGTTATCAATAGATGAAGCGATACTTAGAGCATTCGATGCACAAGGATTAAGTAATAAAGATATCGCCATCAATTTTGCCACTAACTTTGATAATGCAGCGAAGAATATCACTCCGAAATGTACTGTCAGACTTTTAGATCCAGGAAGCTATAGTAAACAAACTAACTGCAGCATTTATTATCAAAAAGCTTCAAGTGAAAAAATAAATAAAATTATCGATAAATTAGACTATAGAAAAGCTCCAGGTCTTGATAACATTAAAGTGTCAGATATTAAAATAGTCAGTAAGGCGGTATCGGTAGCTATTGCTAACCTCATAAATTCTAGTGTTAAAACTGGCGTATATCCCGATGAACTAAAGATTTTGTGTTAGACCGGTATTTAAGAAAGGGTTAAGAAATAATTATTTAGACTATCGTCCCATTACCTTACTTTCTACAATAGACAAAATAGTTGAAAAATATGTTTGCGAACAAATTCATAAATTTTATCGTAAGCAAGATGTAATTTACCAAAATCAATTTGGTTTTCAATCGGGTAAAAGTACTAGTCAGCTGTTATCTAAATTTACAGATGAGATTAATGAACATCTCAATAAAAAACAATACGTGTTGGCTTTATTCATAGACTTTTCCCGTGCTTTTGATACCCTAAAACATGCACAAATAATTACTAAACTTGATGAGTCTGGTGTACGTGGGCCTTTACTCAACTGGTGCAAGAACTATTTACAAAATCGTAAATTCACCGTTAAAATAGATGATGTATACAGTGATCATGTACCAGTAACTGAAGGTACGGCACAAGGATCTGTATTAGGTCCGCTACATTTTTTGTCTTATGTTAATAATATGCATAATATCGTAAAAAGAAAGGAAATAAAAAATGGAGGGATAAGCCAAACAATGGGGTTGTGTAGAACAATAGGTTGTGTTTCCAATGACCTACCTACACTGTGAAACACAGTTCATGTTACCAATTTGCAGATGATACGTGTCTAGTATTGTCTGACAAAAATATTCAAAAAGCACGAGACCTTCTACAATCTGATGTCAATGTCCTTCTTGAATGGTGTCATGATGCCGGATTGGTATTAAATCCAATTAAAACACAACTTTTGATCATAAAATCACCCTATTTAAAATTTCGTCCTCTATATAAACCTATCATTGCTCACAACCACAAGTGTCTACATATAACTAATGAAAGGAACTTTTGCAGCTGCCCCGCTATAACGGTCAAGGACAGCCAAACATATCTTGGCTTAACTATAGATAGTAAGTTTAATTGGAGTAAACACATCGAAAAAATTTGTAACAAATTAAGACAATTTTTAGCTAATATAGTCATCCTTAGACACCGAATTCCCTTTAAAGTAAAACTGATGCTGTATAATTCATTGGTCGAATCTTATGTTCAATATGGGTTGTCAAGTTATGGCCGCACTTATAAAACATATTTAAATGATATTTTTAAACTTCAACGTAGAATTTTAAGAACTATTGTATCTCCCAAAATTAAGATGCAGTATTATGACGATGATACTGGTCTTTTTCGACATTGCAATATTTTACCTGTACATCTACAATTTAAATACACATTTCTTAAGGAAAACTTTTTTAACAATAAATATTGGAACGAAATTAATCATGCTGTATATACGAGGGCGGTCGCACGGAAGCAACTTTGTACCAATAGCGCTCGCGTAAATAACTGTTATGGTGAGCGTACGGCTGACTACCTGGTTCCTCGATTTATTAATGAACTACCCACCGATGTACGAGATAATATTACTATTAGCAACATCAAGTGTAAATTAAAACGATACTTCTTGCATGGTTTTAATACAATCTAAATAATTTTAATGTATTTAGTATTAATATAAACCTACGTGGTTTCTAAATGCTAATGGAACATAAATTCTGTAACTTGTATTTTTATCGATAATAAAATAAAAAAAAAAAAAAAAAAAAAAAAAAGATGTGCGTGCGCTAGAAAATTATTATGCCTATTATTCATCATGTAATAGGATAATGATGAGAGGAAAATTCTAGTGGAAAACACAATGCACGTCATACCGAAGACAAATTGTGCCATTTTTTTTTTCTAAAAAAAGATATTATACTTAGAAACAATAGTACAGGTGAATGATGAAAGATGATAAAAATGAATATGTTCCATAAATGAATTAGTAATTACCTGTTCAAAGTTACCGGTTCATCTTTAAGAATTAGTTTTAATTCCACCTTTTTGACCATATTGTTTCGATCAATTAATTGATAACTAATTATATTAGCTTTGTTTTATCAATTACTTACTTATAATTATAATACTGTATGACTCAAGATAGTTATTATTCATCAATTAAGTTATTTAAAAATACATACAAAGGAATAATATTTCAAGGTCACAATATTTGTAACGTATTTTCAATGACTATAAAAAGGAGGCGATTCGCATTTTGCCTGCGTTCGTGTTCTAATCCGATTTCACTAATTTCTTTTGTCTATCCGTACCATTTACTCTCGTGGTGGTCCCATATTGTCGGATTTATCCGACAGATAAGCGGTTTTTGTGCGTTTGATTTGTCAGAATTGAAGTGCTATGTTTTGTGGGGGATGAAATATTAAAATATTTATTCTGATATTGATATCAGTCGGGATACTTTTTAATGAGTGATAATAGAATGGTAATCCTGCTTGCACTATCAATATACACTGGCCGGGCACCAGTGAAGTACGATAGATGAGAATGAAAGCAGATCGGTTGGCAAATCAAGATCTCCCTCTAGATCCACTTGATAGGGTATATTGCTAGCAATGGTACCGTGAAACGTAATTACTAACAGTTCCGTTCTCCTCTAAATTTGGGTATTTAGAGAAACTGCTACAAAGCCAAGCGGTTATATACTAATATACAAAAGGTTACGTATTATTTGTGTGCATATGGTTTATATCGGTATCACTCCAATATGATTTTGTTATCCATATTGTTGGCAAAAAAAAAACAACATACATTATAGCCACGATATACCGCCCACAACAGTCCAATATGTATCTTCGTTTCGATTGGGTACTATTTAAATTTAATATAATGGATAACCAATATTTAATGTATTCGTTATTTGGCTAGTATATAGATATCGTAATTACAATAGATATTTCTATTTCTTCTCTTTTCATTTAAGAGTTTCCTCTTGTCGGTGCAACTAATTCATGCGTCTTCTTCCAGCCAGCTTTATCCCAAGCCATATCTTTGAACTCCCTATACGACATGACACCTAGTGTTTCTTTTATCTGTCCCATGTACTTTTTCCTCGTTCTTCCTCTTCCTCTTTTGCCCTCTATTTTTCCTTCTACTGTATTCTTAAAAAAATCATCATGTCGTATAAGGTGGCCCAGCATTTTGCCTCTTCTATTCTCTATTATTTTAATTAATGTTCTTTTCTCGTTCACTCTTCAGGACTTCCTTAGATATTTCTATAGCGATATATAATTGTCCATCCTTAATTTTTTGTATGAATGTTGCAGGGCGTGGTGTCCGGCGTGCTTCTAGTGACGCCGAACGCGGTGATGTTCGACCCGAACGTGTCCGACGTGCTGGTGATGGAGCACGGGCCCGAATCATACGGCGTCATAGCACCCATGGAGTACGTCGTCAACGCCGCCATATTCTATGACATAGCGCACATGCGCACCCACGGACCGGACAACAACGCGCACAAGTGAGTACATAATATCTGTACCTGTGTATACCTGTAAAAATAGTGTAGATATAAAATAAATAAATAAATAACCCTTACAATAACGCGGTAATGTATCTCTGTCACAGTCTGTTACAATAGTGTTGCTTTCATAAAAAAAAATCATCGTTTAGGCGTTATGTATGAATGCCTAGACACTTAGTTGAGTGATGACCATTTTGGTTGCATAATTCCTAATAATTTTTGTAATTTGCCATTTAAATTTTCCATGTAATTTTAATTTGTTTATGTTTTTATTGTAATTGTTATTGGTTTGTGTTACATAAATATTTATATTTTTATTTATGTTTTCTTTCTTTCTTTATTTAAATGGGACTTAATGGAAAGTTAACCAGTTTTGTCGAAATTAGCATAAAAATATTCTTTTAATAAAATTAGTTATAAATCGAAACGTTCAATCAGTTAATCTATATTGTATTTGGTACTGCTGTTGGACATCGACAGACTGTTTCATGGTCGTATCAATTATTAGTTTGTTTCCATTTTTATTAAATTCTATTGGAACAAACTATACAAATAGATTCATTTGTCACTTCACCAGCGGACCTGTACTAAAAAGAGTCTGAAATCAGTTCAAAAATAGAATCTCCATACGTTAAAAAGAAAATTTTTTGAATTAGAAAAAAGGTTATTACAGGATTAATTCATTGGTTACACAGTACTTAGCCAATAGTAATGTTATTATTACTTTATATAGTTTTATCCATAATATGTAGATATATATCTTAGTGCCAATTCCCTCGCGGGGTTGACAGAAACGAATTTCTAAGGCCTATATTTTTGTACACGTAATAAAAAAAATATTCTTTCCAATGTGTCCTCCAGTAACTAAAAAAACATTGATAATACTTATAAAAAGCGATTTAAAAAAACTAAATACAGATTAATTCTACCATGCGAAACGTAACTAATTTGTACATTTAGTCGGTTCTAGTTTTGTTTTAGTTTGCAGCGTAGTCGTAAGTCTCATTGGATTATTTGTTGTGCGTTGCAGAGCGGAGCAAGCGGAGATCTATTACATGAACAAGTCGGAACATTCGCCTGGCAAAGACTCGCTTCTAGTCAAAGTGAGTATTATTGTTTCTATTGTAAATCTTATATAAAAGTTTGATGTTTTGAGTCGAAAAGTTTTCTCGATATTTTTAAAAAATACCAGAGGGAGACATTGTACAAAAGTCGATTGCTTGGGTACCTCTGTCCCATTCGTGTTTCTACCGTGAAGCAGTTGTGTTTGCATGACTGTGTTTCGGTTTGAAGGGTGGGATATGGCGTGAATTTACAGGGTACAGAGGAATAACACCTGAGTCCTCAGGAATGGCAACGCATGGGGGGGGGGGGGGATCATGGGCGAAACAGTATACTCTGTTACGTCCATGGTACTGCTCATGTCTATAGGCGACGGTTACCACTTTCCATCAGGTGGACCGTCAGCTTGTTTGCCATTCTAAGTTGTATAAAAAAAAAACATTACAATTATTATTTTCAGGATGAGACATTCCCCGAGTTGCAAGCAGCGAGCGCGGAGGGCGGCGAGGGGGAGGACCTATGCGGCGGGGAAGATCGTCCCGGCTCCGGCGACGAACGTGGCGGCGCCGCTTTCCCGAAAGCCTTCGAAAGGGAACTAGTCACACCTACCGCTTTGCAGGTATTACCCGCACTAATTACCTAAGGTTATCTCCACTGTAGATCCTAAAGTATTTATGTTCATATAGAACCATTCATTTAGATAGAATATACCATTAATTTTGTGTCCCATAGATACAAATTTAGATATTTAGTCGTATAAAAGACGATGTTATTTTAAAGAACATTTTGTACAAGGTATTTGCTAATACAATTGCATTTTTATAGCGTTATATTAAGGATTTCAAATAGATAATAAGACATTGAAAAATGCATTGTAACAGTAGAGATATAGTTACAGATCTAACAATAACTAAAGAATTAAGTAAAACTGTCACTAACTAGAACACTGTGAGCACTTCTTTATATTGTTAAGCAACTTTAATGCACAGTCCACATTCAAAGAAAAATAGTGAAATATAGATAAGATATTTTAGATAGAAATTACTCGTAGTATGTCGATCTGCCGATTGTTTGTTGGCGTTTGATTGAATTAAGGTCTAAATCGTACTAGTATAAATATATAGTTGATTAATTTAAATTATAGAAACGGTTGTACACTGCAATATCTTTGTTGTACACAGTGCCTTAGTCACAGCTTAGTTTATGATTAAATTGTTGTATGTTCACAGTGAAATTTAATTAATATTAGTACATGGGTAATTAGTATTATAGAGCCGTACACGAAATAAGTGCCGCTGTCAATGTGTGCGTCGTCTATGTTCATTAGTTTATTAGCTTTAGTTATTGCAATTCGCTTTTGCATAGATAATAATTTGTTTTGTGCTTCACTTTTTATTTTCTCGCTTTAAGTGCAAGTAAACGCTTTTGTGTTCACAGCAACAAACAATAGAAGAAAGGCGGAAATCTTTACTGGATCACCACTGGGCTATACCAAGCAAAGATAGAATGTCAATTGATCAAGGAAGCGAGGTAGGAGTTGTCCACGTAACACCGCTATCTTTCATCGCATTGCAATATTGCCTAATGTTAATGTTAAATATTTATCTTGAAGTACTATTTGGTGTAAGTTTATGTATATTTATATAAAACTTAGTAATTCACGCGAAACTGATCCGACTTGTGATTTATTGAAAATATTTAATAACAAATGTGAATTAATGTGTATAATATTTATTTATTTAGGAAATATTAAAAATTTCATTTCTCTTATAATGAATAAAGACAAAAAAACTTGCAGAAATATTTTTCCATAATATTTCTTGTGAATCTGTATCTGAGATCTGGCATACTGATTTGTTATAGTATCTACTAATGAAAGGATCTACGATTATATAATATTTCAATGTTCTTCTCTGTCAGAGTCTGCTGTATAAATCAAAACGTAAAAGTTGATCTCTTCATTTTATTCGAAACTTAATTTTTCAGTCTACTTATATATCTATAATACCATTATAATAATAATTGTAGAAGTAAAGCTTGGTATACAAACGTGCATGATAATGCAGGTGTCCTCAAGCACCGAGCACAAAGATGAAAGCGGGGAAGGTGGTGAGGGCGGGGAGGGCGCGGAGGCGGCGGAGGGCTCGGGCGCGGAGGAGGGCGGCGATCGCGACGAGCGCCACGACGCACAGCACCTGGTCAAGCTCTCCTACCACGACTCCGGCATCGATATACGCGAGCCGCTGTTGCATGTCACGCCCATCAACACCAAGAAGGTAATCTACAATAGTTTTGATAATCTTTAAAACATAAACATGTAATTTACCGATAACATATTCTTTTGAAGTTATTTTAATTTTTTTTTTCTATGTTAATTGCCATTCGCGATAATAAGAGTATGGTCATTTTTAGGTTCATCACGTGTTAACAGGTAGTTTTTTTTTTTTATATGTTTAATATTATTATTATAAACTAAATGTAAATCACAAATAGGCAGACATACACTCCAATATATCAATGGATTTCTAGGATCATCAGACAGACATAGAGCACGATGATTATCATCATGAAATCGAAACCATATATGAGATCGCGGAGCCGGACGCAGATGTCTCTATGTACGACAACTGGGACTGTGTCGTCACTTACGAGGCAAAATTTCCAAGTCGATTCGCTAATGAACATCGCGATGTTGAAATGATGTCTAGTTCGTCCCGCGACGAGGTGAGAGGTTATGGGACTTCTCGGCAACGGAAATATTTCAATGTGGACAATTCTTATTGTGTCTTTTGTAAATCTTACCCTCTAGACAAAAAGTAATTATTTGTAGATACGTTTACGCAATCACACGCATGAGAAGACAAGATAACAGATGTCGCATGATATCGCTGTTTCTTATTCCTAGAAACGGAGTTTTCCCATTAGAAGATTATATAAGATGGTACTGCTCATGTCTATAGGCGACGGTTACCACTTTCCATCAGTTTACAGTTAACAGTCTACAGAAAACAGTTTTTTTTAATGGGTGACAATGGAATGGTAACTCTGTCTACGCTATCAATATACGCTGGCGGGGCACCTGTGAGGGATAGATTATAGGTGACGATAAAAGCAGGTTAGTTAGCCCATCGTGACGAATTTTACTAGAGTTAACCACCATGGTTTCCAGGGCGAACCGCGTAGAGGTCGACCTGATAGGGTGTATTGCTGGCAATGGGTTAGCTAGACTATTAAGACATATTATCATCATATTGTATTTTTCTCAGCCCTCCAGTACAAAAACAGGAATGTGATAATGGACACTATTATACGCTGGCGCGGCATCAAAGGATGGATGTTGGTGACAATGAAGCAGGTGAGTTAATCCCATTGCTATTAGCAATATACACCAACCAGGGGGAACCGTCGACTTGATCGCGGTTTGCTGGCAATGGGTCAGCTAGACTCCAACTAACAATCATGATTAATTATCATTATATTGTGATGAATTCATCATGATGAGCTAACTGACCTGTTTTCATCCTCATCGTCCTTTACTGGTGCCGCGCCAGCGTATCCCGTTAGCGCAGGCGGGATTATTATTCCATTTTCATCCAATAAACAAAAAGATACTATTATTCCGACATCATTTTGTGACATAAGCATACCATAATTTTAATCTATCATTCCTAATTGGTACTCTAGCAGTTTTAGTTATAAATTTAGGCTCGATCTTCAATCATCCCAATCATTTAATTTACACAAAAAACAAAAATGTATATGCAAATAAAGTTTGCGACTTGTCTAGAGGATAATAGGTAGAGTCTGTTTTTCTTATTGATTTATATACCTCATGTGGAATCTACGTTCTTATAATTGTTTTTCTTTTCCCTTATGTTGTACTTTCTATTCGTTTGTTTTGTTTTCAAATATTTTATTCTTAGACCAGTATGATTCATATTTCAAGGTTGTATCGATTTGTTGTTGGTGGTTTTTGACATCTTTGTTTGTTGTGTGACCAACTGTGAAACGAGTTTAATGCATTATTTACGTATTACGTATCATTGTTTCTTGCGATATGTTGTTTCTCTTTGACTGTGACGGAAATTCATACTTATTTCATCTATGTATATTAATATATTATAAAGCGGCAAGATTTTATGGTTTGTTTGTAATAAATAAAGTCTAAAACTACTTAACCGATTTTAAAAATTCCTTCACTTATATATATAATTTTCTAAAGTTCTATTTACTCATGTGAATTCGAGCCGTGTCGCTAATAATTCATAAAACTATAATAATAATAAAAGTTTATTATTATTACTAATTCATAAATGTGTAATTTATAATTAAAGGAACAGTATTATGATAGCCTTCATTTTGTTTTGCATTTGATACAATTTTTTTATTTTAATCAATTATTAAAAGAGCATACTAAGAATTTAAAATTTTTCCATGCTACTATGTTTGGTAAACACGCTGATTCTCCACGTTATTTAAAGTTTAACTTTTGGCTATAGAAATGAACATGAAATAAATGCTCCGCTGCTCATATTCCACGAGTCTCTCTCTTTAAAATACTATTCTACTATTTCCAAGTTAGTTAAATAGCGGTATTTCGCTACCAGAATACTTTTTAAATATTCAATTGAAAATTTTGGAAATTATTAAATTGTTTTCGGAAATTAAGAAATTGTTCTAACATTACCACACTTCAATAGGCTTCAATATGAACCCTTCTAATAGTTACGACAATAATTAATAATAATAATTAATTTAATAATTGTGAGTCAATATATAGATACGTTTGTAACTGTTTACGTTCATCAGTTTACCAGAGGGACACTTTGTACAAAAGTCAATTGCTTGGGTACCTCTGTCCCATTCGTGTTTCAACCGCGAAGCAGCTGTGTTTGCATGGCTGTGTTTCGGTTTGAAGGGTGGGATATGGTGTGAATTTACTAGGTACAGAGGAATAACACCTGAGTCCTCAGGAATGGCAACGCATGGGGGGTATCATTGGCGAAACAGTATACTCTGTTATGTCCATGGTACTGCTCATGTCTATAAGCGACGGTTACCACTTTCCATCAGGTGGACCGTCAGTTTGTTTGCCATTCTAAGTCGTATAAAAAAAAATATATTTTTCTCCGCATAATTACTTTTTGTTTTTCCAAAGATTGACTAGAGGAGAATGCTATATAGCAAGTCCGTCTTTAGTATTAAATATTTGTTTATACTGTGGTGAATAAAGAGTAAATAAATAAATAAATATGTGTGTATATAGGTGTACAGCGATGCGGACATAGTTCTGTCTGCGGAGTGGGTACCGCCGGTGGTGGTGTCCCGCGGTGAGCCGCCGCTATCGGCTCCGCCGTTAGGGGAGGCCGACCGGGCACCGCGCAAGCCCGCAGCTGTCTCTTTCTCGCTCGACGGCGGCCAGCAGCACCACCAGCAACAGCAACAGCAGCAGCATCAACAACAACAACAAAAGGACGACGCCAACAAGCCTGACAAGAAGAATAAGGTACTAGTGCCACAAATTAGGAATTTTGTTTTTTTTTATCTTGTAATATTGACCAGTTTGGTATTGATTAATTAACACGGGCTATTTATTAAAAAGTAATGACCGTCCCAAGTAAATGCTATCAAAATCATAACAAAACAATAAAATGTGAGGTTGAAAATAAAAGAAATAAAAGAAATTGAAAAAAAAAAATGAAAATAAAATATTTGTTTGTTGAAGACTATGTAAGAAGTGAATTGGTTTAAATTGATCACTTCTTTGTGCCCGTCCCATAAGATTCCTGAATTAAAAATATATACAAAAAATGCTATAAACTACACATTTCTTGCGGTGTTGCCCGCTTCTAATTATGTTGTTCCCATATATTAGTCCCGTTTATTATTTATATACTTAAATGATAATTACCTTCATAAAATTTCAGCGAATTCGACTAATAGGTTATTTTATAGCATTTTATATTTGATTTTTAGATTGATATAACTTTTTTATTTATGAACCAATGGAAATAAAACAGACACTAAATATCTAGTGAAGTAAACTGCAACGTATTAGTGAAAACCGTATTCAAATAGGTTAAGCCGTTTCTGAGATTAGTTTGCACAAACGTACAAACAAACAGATATATAGAGAAACAAGTAATAATAAATAATAAATTTATTTCTTTATACAAAGGTAGTTATATAGTTATTATTATTATTATTAGAGAAACAAAAAATCTAAACATCATTATTTTGGGTTCTATTGTGTTCATAAAGCCCCTCTATAATAGTTTTTCTTATTTATCTTCCGTGTACAAAGTGTCCAGTTACGATTTTATTATATGTATTGATGATATTTTTCATAGAGTTTTATATACATGAATCTAAAAACCCTGTTTGCGGGTAATAACAGATCCAATTTCGTATGATGACCGAAAAAAATTACATTTTATGTGAATCTAAATCCAAATTGTTCGTTACCGATTGATACACTTCTTATACGGCATTCTATGCAACAACCCAAGCGATAAATATTCCATCTGATTGCGGTATAAAATAAAACGGGCGAGCCCAAACGATCTGGTTTATTGTTATGTCCTTTATTTTTTTTTATAAAGGCTCTTGTATCATGAACGACTCAGATTCAGTTGAATTGACTACATACGATTGTTCGATGTTAAGTTAATTTACCTAATGAATATTGTATAGTATTTTCAATCCTATACTATTTGTTTATATTATTCATACTGTTTTATGCAACTTACAATGGGAAACAACTAAGATTATTTAAACAAGCCTTTTTTTATTTAAAAATAAAAATAACTACTTGCAAATTGGTTAGAAATATGTATTATTAAAATATGATTTTCATATTTCAAGAATGCGTTTTTTTAACCAATTTACATAATAATACATATTTCTAAACAATAATTATTGTGCAATTGAAAATTTTCGAAACGGGCGGGATTTGGACCCAAACCATGGACCATAACCTTTTATTAATACTGGTACTAGTTGCAGGTTCAATATTTATATATTTACTGACTTTTAGCGCGACATCGTCCGTATGTCCGGAATATGTTGTTAAACAGTCATCGTAAGACACCAAACAGTAACAAACTAACTTACATTTATCATATTAGTAAGGATTTTTTTTTCTGACAGATGCTCAAACGGTTGTCGTATCCATTGTCGTGGGTAGAGGGTCTGACTGGCGAGGGAGGGGCGCCGGGTCCGCAGAGCTCGCAGGCGGAGTCACTGCCCAGCTCCGCAGACAGCCACAATTCCACCAGCGTCTTCTCCAAGGTCTTCAACAGGTAATTACTTGATTTACATCAAACATCACCTAATATAATCTCTTCGCAATGATATTCAGTAGACTGACTAATGATGTTCTCGAATCGAAAATCGAAATAACGTCAAATGGACATTGCTTTATATTTGGTATCATTTCATTTTAATCTCAATTCGAGTTCGTTAATGTCTGTCCACAATACAATGCAATTTTAATTTTCCTCTAATGTCGAACCGTAGTTTTCGTTATAGAGATAAAAAAATCCATCTTAGAATCGATTCCATAAAAAAAAATCTTACAGATCTACGTAATTTTGTTTTTAACATTTATATTAATAGGTATAGGTGACGTAACAACAAGGTATTCTTATGATTTAATTTTTCTATATTATTTCAACTATATATAATATTGTGCTATACTTACTCAATATATCTAATCAAGTAATGTACCATGCACTATTGTAAAACATTTAAACTGAACAATCTAAGGAATGAAAGAATATATAATATTTTAATGGGCGTTACACGCATTTTACGAAGTTGATAAGGGATGGAGAGCCACTACGTAGGCATGATGTAGGTAGGTACTGATGCCATTCGTGGTTATCAAGATAATCTGTGAACATATATTTATAAAGACAAATGTAAAATTTATTTATGTAGATCACTCAAGATAATTTTTAAAAACCATGTATCAGTTCCTAATATTTATAAAAAAATTAACCCATTCATTCATTATCGTGCTATATTTAAAACAACATTATTTATTCATTAAATATACAATGTTGTTATCAGTAACGATACTATAAAACTATACAGTTTTAGTTACTTCAATGCAACTTGTTTCATTTGTATGGCCTTAATGTATTTTATAACATAAATCTCATTGTGTATTTACACATATGAATGGTGTTTTTCATTCATTTTAGTAATATATTCTCAAGGCTATAAAATTGTTAATACAAAATAATGACATTCTAAATAAGTTGAAGACGCGAGATTGTATATATTGCAAATAATTTAACCATGTAATAATTAATAGGTGTACCAAAGTAGTTGTATGTAACTCACATGCATGGAATCGATGATACGCCCTCCACAATTAGTACATAACTATAATCTTACAGTGATACTTCTTCCATGCATACGAGGCTCTATTTCATTTAGCGCGCTTACAGACGAGTCTAAACGATAGTTACAGTTAATAAAGTATTATTTTTTGTTATTAAATTATGTCATAGATTATATACATAATTTTCCGGAAGATTATCAATCATTATACAATAAATATTACTGCTTAATATGCCAATGGCTACGTACTTTACGTACGTACAATTACGTACTTAGTCTTTGGTTCATACTCGTCGATAAGCGCTGTACTCGCTTCGTTGAACTCGCGCCATTCTCGCTCCACTTAAGGGGGGCCTTACACGGTCTACATAAACATCCCGTTGACAACTAACAAAAATATGCGACACACATATACACATGCTCGTCGAAAAAGTTTAATGTTGCAATCGTACATTTTTCCTTTGCTACCGTGGATGCTAACTGGATGTACCGAATTTGCATTCGTTGGTGCGTAAAGCTCGCCAATGAATTTAGTTGAGTTCGGTACGGGATTGTTCCTGAGTAAAACGCCGTCGGAGGAGGCGCCACAGGACGTGTTCTCGACGTCGGGGTACGTGACATCAAGCCTCTGTCAATGTGCCCACTTCGTTGTGTTGCGTATACGGATCGCCCGCTGTGACGACTTGTCTAGCAATTTTAAACCTTAATGCTTTGATCCTAGCCTCCGTTGTTTATTGATAACATCATGTGTACTTGGATTTATTTTTATTACACTAGGTCATTCTTCTAATGATCTTCCTAAAATATTCCATTTGTGCAGTGAATATGTAATTGCGGATGATTTAATACATGCGTTTGTTTATTGTCATGCAATAAGCATACTGTATTCCGTTCAGTGACAAATTTTGGATTAATTTTAATCCTATTTTTTAACAATATAAAATGAGACAAAGTCAGTTATGGCAACACAAACATTAATTTGCTGGCGTCGATTTATGTTGCATTGCGTTTATACTTTTTGCACATTTTCTTAGTTACATAAATAGTAACGATTTATGGACTACATGTCCATGGAGTTTATGAAAAAAGAGAATTTATTGGTCATAATATTAAAAAAAAATTAAACGCATTAAATGAAAAAAAAAATGGTAAAATTTTAAGCTAGCTATAAAAGGAAACAGTGTGTGGCAGTCCCACCAAAGTATAAAGGTTTATTTAATGCATTTATTAATTAAAACGTCGTCGCGGTGTATTTAATTTAGTATACTCTTTCACACTATTCTCTTATTAGGCATCTCCACCGACATAGTAACTGTGTTTGTTGTCTATTGTCTTGTGTAAAAGGTCGTGAGTTTCATTGAACGATCTAGAATACCTATCTATATATTAATGTCAAAATTCATTCGCTTATTTTGTAAACGATTATAAATGTTTAATGGCATGATGTATATGTGTTAGGAATATTTATAATGTGTATATGAACTAGAGCATTCGATTGATTATTATTCAATGGATGTTGTTATAATTTATCATAGCACATAGCATTTATAAAAATAAGCTGTAACGTATCGTATTATGATAAATTATAAAAGCGCCTAATGAGACATCTATGCGTCATATATAGATCATGGATAATAGCTTATTTTTTTTTTTGCGTGAGTTAAATATAAATTAATCGTACAGCGTAGTTTCAGACTACTCTAAAACTATGCTGCAACATCTAGATGTCGCTGTGTAATGTTCAAGAGAATTTATTCAATTGGCTGTTTCTAGAATGCTCTACTTTGTATACATCTATAGATGTCCAATTTAAATTTAGTTAATTTCCCCGCATAGAAGTATCATCATTATGTAAAATAGGTGAATTTTAAAAATGAATGTCGTTCATACTTTTCAAAATCATCGCATTCATTATACACGAGCGTTTTGTCTTATTGGCACCTTATATTTTAATATCGTTAATATGTCATTTATGTTAAAAATATTTCAGCATGTTTAGCTTCGATATGTTTATATGTCTTCTTAAAAATATGCCTTGTGTGTTAAATTTAAGAACTTGTTATTATTATTACTATTTAATTGCCATCAGGAGGGATTGGAACCCTGTCACATTCACTGGTTTCTTAAAAGAAATTGCATTTAATTTTCTTTCAGTTCAAAATAAAAAATATTTTCGTTGTAGTGAACGGAATGCGTTGTTTTTATATGTTTAAATCGTCTGATTCAACTCGCCAAATTGCCAATTAAAAATAATTAGATACCATTATCACTTATTTAAATAACGTTTTTATCAAATTATTTACAATTAATGCAAATACAGAAATTTTCAATATTAAATTCAAACCCGATCGTTATATGTATTTTTTATGATATTACGAAAATGGAACTCCAGAGTGTGACAAGGCTTCATATCTATCTATCTTATTGTAAACTAACCAAATTCTAGCAGGAGATTCTTTTATGTTGTATAAAATAATTTTTTACAGGTGCAGTAAATAAAAACTATTGTTACTAATTTTTATTCATTCATTTTGTAGAACAGCGTACTTTGGTTAAGGTATACATATAGTAATAATTTTAGGACTATTTTACTTGTGATACTAAAAACAATTTTATGACAAACTTAACTACTAAAAAAACGATAAAGGAGTAATAATTATTTATTACCTGTGTTTCACTTTTATCACATGAGTTTTTCAGATATATCAACGAAATATTTTTTGCATTTTACAATAAAAGAAATAATTTGTTTTATAAATTATATTTCTATTGTTGCTAACTGCAATGGAAAATCTCTGTTGCTTTTAATGGTTTGATGATCAGTAAAATAATCAGTAAAAAATCTATTAATTATACCTCTTGAGCAATATTAATAAAAGATATTAGGGTCTGTTTGAATAAAACTTGATGAAAATGTAAACAAATTAATAATTAAGATCGATTCGATCATAAGACACTCTGATGATGTTCAACATTAGGATAAGTAAACAATTGATTAGTTGATGGAATGTTTCAATTTGTTACTAATTTTATTTAGAGTTTTTTTGTGATAATTTTAATAAAATTTGGTTACCTTTTCATTAAATAGATCTTAATTAATCAGACTATATTATTCTTCGGTCGTTGACAATTTTTTTCCTTTCGAATTCGCTGTATTATTAAATAACCGATGTATGCGCAGACGCAGCTCACTTGGCGGTTTCGGTCGGTCGCACGCCAAGTCTACGCCAAGCTCCACCCAACCCCGTCTCGATTACCGCAGCATGGTGTCCGTCGACGATATGCCTGATCTCTTCGCCTCTTTTGATAGTCAGTATTGTTTATTAATAGAAAGGTTATCTAGTTGTGTTCTTGTACATGCAAATATAGTAGAGAACGAAAGAAGCGACGAGTTCAAAAGTATTACAATGAGTCAGTGGTTGCAGATGGCTCAAGATAGAGAGGTACGGCTCTATAGAGAATACATGTTCAATAGTGTACAATTAACAGCTGAAATTATGATGAGCTTTGTTGAAATAATATTTTGAATATTTGAATTTATATAAATTTAGTAAGAAAAATAGTATATACAACAATTTCTCCGAGACTTCGAAGCTTTGAAATAAATTGTTTGTGTAAAAAAATTTGAACGTGTTACACAATATTTATGCTAATTGTAGATCGATATTTGTGTTTTTTTTTTTTTTATTGAACATGTTTACTTCCATGTTTATATATTGAAGATAGTTGTTCATAGTATATGTACTAGAGTCGCAGACAAAATGAAAAGCAGTTTCGTTTAAGAAATCTCATAAAACTACCAACAGTCCTATATTATTCTACTACGCAATTTCTTTTTTTTTGACATAGTTTTATATCCTTCATGTTTTGTGATCGCAGAGTTGATTCCCCGGCCAGCCAGGCCGAGTGACGACCCGCCTCTGTACCTCCGTCTGCGCATGGGCAAACCAGCCGGCCGTCCATTGCCACGCACCACACCGCTCATGTCTTACGGCCGCAAGCGCATGAAGCCCGAATACTGGTTCGGAATACCTAGGAACAGGTACCTATTGCTACTGCATTATTTACGTTGTATAAGTTATACTGGTTTCCATGAAGTGGTTCGTAACTTCTTTTGTAATGCGAACTGCTAAGGAATATAATACCCTTCCTGCTTTTGCTGTGAATAAGTATTTATTAGGTAAGCGCGCTCTATCCTACCTAGATCACTATCACTTACCATCAGGTGAAGTAAGATCAAACGCAGATTCATTTTTGAATAAAATAAAAAAAAAAATCTATTTAACTCTATTGTATTACTTAATTGCTCGAAACAAGCTTCACATTCAAAGAACATAATTTTTTTTTGTTGAGAGATCTTTGGTGTTTACCATCGTCATATATTTCTTCACAGATATTTTAATATCCAACGTGCAACTTTTAATGAAATTTTTTTTTTCTTTAGGGTGGACGATCTGTTTAAGTTTTTGACCCACTGGGTGCCAGACCGGTACGGGCCACTGGGTGACGTGACCGCGCAGGGCTACGAGCTCATCGACAGTGACACGGAATGGGAAGATGATGACGCCAAGCCTGGACACAAGGTATGTTTACTACGGATATTAAGTGAATAAATGTTACTTTGCATGCCCATATTTTTCCATAATATTATATTTTATTTTATTGTAATTACATTAGGCTCAATAGAGCTTAACAAAATTTGATTCCTACGAACAAAATTATATCGAAGAAAATGTATAGAGGATTGTATTAAATTGAAAGAAAAATACAAATATAATTAGTCTTGATACTACTGATATCGTGTATTCGTGATTAATCCGTAAACAAAAACTCTCAATTCCAATTTCCAAATAAGAATGTTCACTTAGGACAAGATCGTAAATAAATCTGATCATGCTCGCGTTTTTTGTTGGTTTTTAAAAGATACGCGTAGCAAAATGTGGGCGTGTCGAGTGTGACGTTCACCACGATGGCAACTCCCCTCCCCCTACAAATAATAAATGAAATTATCTATAGATATATTTTCATTAGCATAAGTATGAGGTACAACGACACAGCAATACGTATTTTATCCTGCCCCGACTTGACATAAGTAGATAGTATTTTACTAAATTAAGTGTTACTTTACGAAAATTTACTAAACAGTGGTAACTGTTTAGTTGATTAGAATTATTATGTTTAATTATGCCACTATTATTACGTGTGCGACTGCTGTCATTTGAGGATTAACTACTGTTATCTTTATATTATTATTCTAAACTGCAATTGATCATGAACGTGTAGCCCGCACTCAATGTCACTCTTTTACGTATCACATATCTCTATTATCTCATCAAGATAACAAGCTACAGTATATATTTATGACCTGTATCGGACGGTGTTAATTAATAGAACAAAATGTCTCTGTTTTCTTGTCGTAGGGCGAAAGAACCGGCAGCTCGGGCGATGTTTCGGACATTACCAGAGAATCGTGGGAGGTAAGTCTCTCTTTGTATATATAAATTTTTTATTATTATTCTTACATGACTTTCTAACACGTTCGTTTCGTTACTAACAACGCTTCTAACACACTTTATCGATAACAAAGCATCTCACATTAAACATTACAGTACACATTTGACATAGATGTTTCTGATAATGATACCTCAAACTGTTTTTGGTCGCACTATATTATACAAGTATATTTACATTTACGTCACTGCATTAGCACAGCGGCGGTACAAACAGAATGGTTATCCATCGCCATATATAGGGTGTTGAGGCATTCGAGATTGGTTTGTTTTCAATTTTACTTACGTTCTTATCAATATTAATATGCCATTGTGAATGATATCATACTATGTAATGGCATATGTTAGTTTACCTACTCAAGTTAGATGACAAATTCATTAAGAGCCCCTCTTTGCTAAGAATCGCAATGTTCATTACATTATGACATTATAAATATATTGTAAAGGAAAAATATACATCTGTTTTATTTTAAATAACTATTAGAAATATTTTAAAATCTTATCGGAATTTAACGCAACGCAATTGCAGTTAAATTGTACGTACTATAATATATATTTGATTTTCATTTCTGACATTAAAATTAACTATTATAAATAAGTACATTTCTAATAACATTTTGGAATGCAATGCAAATAAAATCATAATTGCAAATGTAAATATGTTGTTTGTTGCAATATTTTATTATTTTTACAGATTATTTATTTATAAATTATCGTAATTATAAATTAATCTTTACAATGTTTTATTTTAATATCTATTCAATATATTTTTGTGTCAATTCCTTCGTCTCATTTTTTGCGTTCTGCACCTTGAGATTCTTTTTTTTAGCCACAGAGGGGGCAAACAAGCATATGGTCCATCTGATGTTAAGTGGTTACCATAGCCTATGAACACCTGTAATACCAGGGGTATTTGCGCGCGTTGCCGACCCTGAAGCGTTTTCTTTACCCCGTTTTGAAGAATCCCTAAGGTTACGCGGTAAATTAGGTTAGCAAATTCGATTAAAGAACAAAGTACTGCTTCAAGTATATGAAAGACTCCCACCGCATATCAGAAATGATGCAAGTCCACAATTAGCTAGAACTGCAACGGTTAGCCGGCTTGGCCATTTCCCCAGCCGGTGCCATGTCATAGCACAAGCTTTAGCTCTCTAAATGAACATCTCGGTGGTAGTATGTCACCGCAATAAGGTCGGGCAAAGACCACGTTGCTTGAGGTCCGCACCTGCACCTTGCAAGAGGTTTGCAGATAATCCAGTGTATGAGTGTGTGTGTGTGTGAACAAGCATTTGATGAGCCGACATAGTACGGTCAACCACCGACGCATACATAAATCAGACAATCTTTGCGTTTGCTGCGACTTGTGTGGAACTTTAACTATTCAACTTTACCATTGGGAGATTTTGTACAAAAGTCATTTGTTTGGATACCTCTGTCCCATTCGTGTACCTTGAAACAGTTGTGTTTGCATAGGTGTGTTTCGGTTTGAAGATTGGAATATGGCAGTTAATGTACAGGGTACAGAGGCATAACAGCTTAGTCCCAGGAATGGCAACAATACATGGAGGGTGTCATGGGCAAAATAAATACTCTGTAATGTCTATGATACTGTTCATGTCTATAGGCGACGGTTACCACTTTCCGTCAGGTGGGCTGTCAGCTTGTTTGCCATTCTAAGTTGTATAAATAAAATATAAAAAAAAAATTGTATGAATGTTAAATGAGTAATAGAGGAATAAAAAAAGTATCAGCGTTGTAATGCTGCGATACTTAGCTCAAAGGGCTTCTTAATAAATTCGGTTCGATATTAAGAGTGGGCTTAATCGTGGATCACCCATATGTTTGTTTACTGATAAAAACCTGATACGTTGCATTTCCTACGTTTGTTTGTTAGTTACGTTTGTTGTTTGCTTGAAATTATCATAAACACGGCAGATAAAGTCGATCAAACTTTATCATACCAAATAACAGTTGTAAGTTGTTTTTAAACTCATAGTCTATACTCGATTGCCTGTATCAACAAAACACACACAAAACTTTCTTAAAACATCTTAAAAATTAAACAACGGTTATGTATCAGTATTTATATAATAGTATTATTAGCATCTCATTCACTTAACGGAGTATTCTATAAGTGAGATTGATTATTTTTCAAAAAACAAATTTTAAGTTTTCACCGCTATCATGGCGTGTCTTTACTTCAAGTTAGTGTGGTGGATTCTGTATTTCAAATCTTACTCCATTATACAAACAATTCATGTACATGTTAACATTAGCAAAACGATTATTAATATTAGATATGATTTAATCTTTAATAACACTGTAAGTCAAATTCAGCAAGATGAGCAACGAAAAAAGATTTATAACTTATTATTTGAAACGTCCAACATATGTGCTGTGGTAATCTGTTTTTGTTGCTGTCTGTACTAACATAAGTGAACACACTTGCGCATAGCTGCTGAAGGCGCCCTACGTGAAATTTTACTCGATAATGAAGAGCCAGGCCGAAGCGTTGGGCGACTCGCTCGGCGAGGAACCCCGCCCCGAGGTATCTACCGACCACTCGCGCCCGACACGCACGCAGAATATGACCAACGGACCACTATTTTAATTCTTTTATTTAATTATTGACAGCTATTCGAAATTTGAATTACGCGTTGAGCATACCAAAAAAAAATTTCTAAAGTGCCAGTCCCATGATATTTATATTTAAAATAATAAATTATCAGAAAGTGTAAATATATTTCATTTTATTATAATATATTAAAATCGTAATACAATGCATGTATTAGTTGTTACAAAATTAAAACACTATCTGTCAAATGTATAAGAGTGGAAGGCTGTATATGAAAAATAAGTCATTAAAATGCTATAAATCCAATTCAGACTGTTCTCAAACTACAAATTAATGGCAGTAAACAATACTAGACTAATAATAAATACATAAAAGTCACGAATAACACGCATTGTTGTTGCATGTAATTGTCGCAATTGGTATCTGCGTGGTATCCTTAATAAATTTGTTGTGCTGTTTACTCCTCAAATTTCTGTAGAAATACCCCGTGACTTAATTAGAAGAATGGTGTCATTTTCCGGAGACAATTAATTAATAATTTATACAGTGGGACCGTGTCATATTCTGTGGAATTAAACCGTGAGACAAGCGATTATGCACCTATAGTGAATTGAATGATGCACACTCTCCTAGATTTTGTATGCGGCTGTTTATGAAGCTAGGGTAGTATGTTCTTGGCACTGCAAGGCGTTAGCACTCTTAGCGTAATTAATGTTAGCGAGTGCTAATCGTTCTATGTTAATATATATAGTTGACGTCCTTATTTCATTTACGTAGATTGTTTAGAGAATATGCGAATGCCAGGTAATGTCCGCTTTAAGAAATTTCTGTAACTGTCTTTGGCAATTAGATTTTATTCTGTGCGGCTACGAAGTTATTTAATTTAATATTATATACGAAAAAATTGGTAATTTGAAGTAAAGTATGTGATTATTATATTACTGTGTATATTATTACAATTAGTAGTATAAATAAGTAACAATTACTAAACGTGAATTTAATTGTGAGTTAAATATAATTTATAAATAAATACATTGTGTTAGGTAATAAAAATTCAAATATTAATTAGATAATTAATCATAAATATTTTTTTAATTAGTATTCACACATGTCAAAGTGAAAGATAATATCAGAATTATTATGTATGTGTAGTTCTCTCTTTTATAGATCAAGTTCGGTTTTCTGATCACCCATCTGCACTGAAATAAGACTGCCATCTCGTTTAAAGGCCACAAAACATAAACATTGCATGTACTTTATGTATTAACTGTTGGCGTTAAAATTCTCTTCAAATAGTTTATTTAACTCCTAAATATCAATTTAGAATTTCTTTAAATTTATGTTGAATAATATTTGATATAGTGTTTTATAATTAGTTATTGCGGGAGGGGATTTGTTGATCAAGGCAAGATATAAAGAACAAATCGATCTTTATTTCAAGCCATTGTTATATCATAATAGTTATAGAAAGCTAGTAATATAATTATATAGTTTTTAATGAAAACTATGAGAACTTTTCATATAAATTGAGGTACTAGTGTCAAATATGTTTATCTAGTCTGTGCCTCTAACCAGTACCAACGCAAGGAAATGCTCAATTAGTTTTTTGTAGAAACATTTAAGTACTTATGCTAGTTCTGTCTGACTTACCGTGTTTTTGTTTCTCTGCCAATCTGCACATGGCAAGAGTATTTATTTCCATTATAGTATCGATAAGGAGCATACATTGGTCGACCCTTTATTAAGCAATAGGCAACACATATGAGTGATGATTTTTTTTATTATAATCAGTGTTAATATGTACTTATATTCTTAAATAAGTGTATTTAGTCAAGTAACATTTTAGGGGTTATAAAGTTAGGTAAAATTTTAGTTGACACAAATTTATTGAAAAGCTTTATTAACAATTATACAATAGGTATAATAAACGTCATATATGTGATTAAACTGTGTAGAAGTAAATATGTAAATAATGCGTCACGCAATCAGATAATATCCATAGAGGTTTTGACGGTGTGTTATTGAATGGCAGTGACAAAGTGTGAGTGAGTGGTGTGGTGATATAACAATAGCCGACGGCGGCAACCAAACGAACAATGGTGAGTTGACACTGAGCACCGCCCTCTGAATGCTGGTGCTCGATGATAGCTGCTCATCACGTAATGATCTGTTGTTGACATTCTGTTAACTACTTACCTTACGTAACAAGGTCAAAGTTCACGTTAGCACGAATTTTTATTCCAGTAAATTCTAAGTTTTTCTACACTATAGTGCATCTACTATTTATCTATGAAATGTTCTTATACTTGGTCTCTTTACGACTCTTGATTTCTTTGTTATTTACTCACTAATCAGAGTATAGTTTGATATAAACGTTAAAAATAATTTTAATGATACGAACTGCGCGGAGACGTGTATTTTTAACTAAATAATATCTGTGGTGGTTCATATCTAAAATGGCGCACGTAATATTATGTTGATGTTTTAAAAATATGGTTCACAAGCGACCCACTTCAGCTTCACACGATTTTAATAAATTATATATTTAAATTATTATTAATACAGCCTATGTTACTCACTGATAATGTAGCTTTCTATAGGTAAAAGAATTTTTGAAATCGGTTAAGTATTTTTTGAGTTTATACATTACAAACAAAAATCAAGTATTTGCTCTTTATAATATTAAAAGAACTTATAATATTATTTAGATTTATTCAAGAGAAAGCTATAAGTTGATCTAATACTATATTTGTTCTATATATTGAAATCTTAAATATCCGTTAAATTATTCATTGGCATTGTTTACGTCTAATCCATATTCAAGATCTCATTGGAGAAGCTTCATAGTATAGTTTTAAAATTTGAAATTTATAAGTGTATTTGTATTAAAATGGTTTACTTATTTAATAGGTAAAAACCTTAGATAGAGTGACATACAAATGCTTCGAGAAAAGCGGGTCAACTTTTTCATACATTTTAGCGTGATAAATAGTTATAAGTGTTTCCTTTATAACTTCTATCTTCTAAGGTAAAAACGTAAAAATATCGAACTTCAAATAAAGTCGCTCTTAATTCATACACTAATAACATCTACTTCAAACCATTGTTTGAGAAAGTGTTTCCAATTTGCCATTTTCTTATATCATAGATAGTATAGGTTTTTCGTTGTATTTGAACGTGATTGCTTATTGCACCAATATTTTATGAATTGTTTATGGATTTTATATATATATATATAATATATAGCTAATCTTTACGTAAAAGGAATTAAAGAAAGATTAAGTAGGTGCCACATAAAAAAAAACAAACCATACGTAGACTATTACAATTATATCCGTACATACATACATACATATATATTCTGGTAGGAAATAAGGAGGACCAAGTGAAATATTGTAGTGGTAGCTAGGTATTGTAGTGGAATTTACTAAACTTTTCAAAATAGGTAGGTATGCCTAATTTATAGTTTAGGGTCCGATTTCATTTTAATTTACTTATTCCTAAAATATTGACGTTCTGATTCTAAAAGTACCTATTTCATAATTAATTTAGTTATATAATAAGTGTATAAACTATTCTAGAATTGTTATCTAATTAGTTAAATGGAATTTTTTAATGGTCTCGATAACAATATTATAATTTTATATGAACGGTGCTTGATGAGTTATTAATAGCTGTTTATAAACACATATATGATTTTCACTTGTTGTGCAACTTCTATGCAATTTGTACCCCTGAAAATTACTTGCAATATGAACATTAGGGGACAAGAAAATGAGATAGTAGCCTTCACAGAATAATAAAGTAAGAATATACTCTTAAGTAGAGATCAAAATAATTTGTCACACTCGGATCAATAGATAATTTTTTACTAGCTTTTTGTCCGGTATTTTGTACGCGTGGATTTCAGAATTAGGAAAACCAATGAAATAGGCAACTTCTAGATGGTGTTTCAAAGTAACACGTACACCAGTTTTTAAGTTGGGTCTTTAGGAACGCAACAGTGAAAACCACGTTTTTTTTAGTGCAGTAGTTTTTGTCTGATGCTAGGACAAACATACAGATAAACAGACAAAATTTATAATTTAGATCCTTCGTATTAATTTTACTTAAATATCCCCCATCTATAGACATTGTCAAGTTACAATTTTATTATATTAGTAAATAAGATATACATTAATATAAACAATAGGCTGGAGCCCTGCCAGATGAAGAGTGGTACCTCTCAGGCATTACCATTCTTGATTGCTATTTCTTCCACATAACATACCATAATAGTAAACAAATTATCAGCATTATACATTAAATTTAGGCCATTTATAACCTTTAGAATCACATATTAGTGTTACTACGTAAATATAACCATATTTGTTCGCATTTCAAATCAAAGTAGACATGAAAAAAGAATTAATTTGACAAATTAGGGATTCATATGACATTAAAATTGTGCCACTTACATGGTAACTATTGGACGTTTCCGCTCAATTCGTTTACATGCATTATCCGTACAGTATGGATCGTTAGGTTGATTCTGCCAGGTTAATTATCTACTTTATTATGATATGTTAATAAGTGTTATTAATCTGTGTACACGGGTAATAAAAATATCTCTCACGAACTAAACAATTATACAATATTCGATCAATATAATAAAGCCTGTAAACTTGGATCAACTTTGAAATTGTTTTTGGAATGTTCCATAAGAACGGAATAAAACGATGGGTTATGCACAAAGCTTTAGTATAGATTTTGTATGCGGCGTTTCCTATTAATATATACATTATAATTCAGCCAGATACCTTAATACGAGATTAGCAGAGAAATCAGAAATAAGTGCTGTAAATAATTATGTTTATATCGCATCGGCCATTTAATTATAAACTAAAATATACCAGAAATTAACTGAAGACAACGGCTGTATAGGCATAGTCCTTTTGCCTTCCCTATTCATAAGGAAAATAGAACCAAAAAAA